ACATATCGGGTCGATGGAGCGGCGCGCGCAGCCCGCGTTCCATTTTCAAAATCCACACACGCTCGAACAAAAATTGTTGTATAATCTGTAATGACGTTTTAATTTTCTTTTCGACCTAATTTACGCGGGTTTTTTTTCTCTCAAACGCCATTTTGGTTTTGTAATTAATTTGATTGTATCTTTTATAGTGAAAATTAGATTTAATGCTTACCAAGTAGCAGAATTAAATTGTGTGCTTCCGCAATACGGCAAAATTAAAACAAAATGCGGATATTACGGCACTTATACATAAATTAATCTCTAAAACTTCTAACTATTAATAAAAACAAAACAGTAACAATTATGCAACATAGTTAGGCCATTTTTGTGCAAAAATCCACGAGTTTGTTTATTTCTGAAATGTAGGTCAGCCTGAATTGGGTCTAGAGCTTGTGAACCTATATTTTAGACCTAGTATTCGCCAGTGGTACTGTTGGGAGATTGGTGCAGTGCACCAAAAGGGTTGCGCATTCAATTCTGGGCTAGTTAATAATGTTAAGTATTATGTAACTTTATATTATACTTTTTCTCTGTATCTTTATTTAAGTAGTAAAGAATATAACATAAAGGTAACTAATAACCTTCGCCTTTATTTAAACAACTATGTCACTAGTGTTTGGAAGAAATTGCTTGCTAGCGATAAGTCGTCCGCATATTGTAAAGTTTCTACTTTCCTTATTACTTTTATTTGTAAGTTTTTTGTGGTGTAAATGCAATAAAATGTATTCTGTCAGTTTTTGTATTCTTTTGCATAAAAGCCGCATAAAGATGTTTTTCAGCTTAGTAGAAAGGTTGACTGGCAGAGAGTGCCAGTGCTCATACATTAAGTCTTACTCACTAATTAATGTGTCTTAAAGACTTACCCCCTTACTAATAAAAAGTTACACAGTTGTTGAACACTGTTTTAAAATGATATTTCCATACTAAACGTCACTTTAAAGCACTGTTCAACGAGCGTGTAAGTTTTATTAGTAAGGGGGTAAAGAAATAATAAAATTAACATAGCTATTTTTATAATGTTTATTGGTGACACAATTTCAGTTATTCGAAACCTTATTAAGTATTGATTAAGTACTTTAAGTTACGCGAATCGCGCCTTTTAATAATATGTACGATAAATGTAGAGTCGACATTTTCTTTAACAAAATCTCATTGACTAATTAAAAAAGATCGGATTTTATAATTAAAAAAAACACTTAACGGATTATAATTAAGTTTATGAAAACATAGTTAAAATATTTAAAACAAATAAATAAAAAATATAGAGGTAAGGTCCCGCTACCAACCGGCCATTGTGGAAATCATTGGGGGAGGCCTATGTTCAGCAGTGGACGTCCTGTGGCTGAAATGATGATGATGATGAGTGATAAGTTGTAACCACTTTCATAGTTTTGTCACTTTTTTAATAAGACTAATAGAGACGTTAAAAATAAACTGTTTAAGTATGTGGCGGTGTAAATAGTTAAACCTAACAGTTGAAGTTTTTAAGACTTAAAGTTGGTTAAGTTTAGTATGCATTTAACTAAATACTTATATCATCCACGAAATACTGGAAAGCTTACCAACTGCAATGCAGTTTGGCACGAGTATACGACCTACATAAAAGTGTTGGAAAATAAATGAATAAATACACGGGTTAATGTTTAAAAGTTACATAACACTGTACGTCGCACCTACTTATTTAATTTAATAAGGGTAGTATTTAACTGCAAGTAAAAAAACATCCTTTTGCATACTAATAAAATCCGAATTCTAAGCAAAAATACTGATTTCACAGCAAAATAATTACCTCAAAATGTTAAAATCTTAGCAGCAATTTAAGTTCGTGACGCATTGCTATCTATTTAAAAAGTGAAGCTATTATATGAATGCATATCTAATACTAACTTGCGCACAGTAAATTACATCATTTATTTTAAAAAATGCTCTCAATTTTTTTATCGTGCACTGCAGTTTATCTATATGAAATATCATTTTATTTGTCATAATAATCGTACGTAAACGTTTGCGTTTTTCGCCAATAGTTATATTTTTGACAAATACTTAGCCTACAATCAAAGACTTTACATTTATAGTGCCCCAAAAACCTTGTAGCATAGAAAAGCCTCACTATGGTCTATCTAAAGGTAAAAATATCACGGTTTTCGAGATTTTTAAGTTTTTTGTATTTTTAGAAAATTGACACCTGCGATTGCGATGCCTTCTTCTCAGCACTGGCCCATTTATTGTCCTGAAGCAGTGGTAGGGTTAATACTGGGACGTGTAAAAGTGCTTTTTTTAAGCCTATTTACAGAAATAAATGAGTTTTACTGAGTTTTTTACTGAGATTACGAATTGAATTTTCCTTTTCTTCTTTTGTTGAATTTCATGAGAAAAACTAATCACAGATGGCAATTTTCTAAAAATAAAAATCGTTAAATATTGAGCACTTCGGGACAACATATCGAAAAATGTGTAAAAGCTGGAAGATTTTTTAGTATTTAAAATAGTTTTTACTTATTATGCTTAACTATAAAACCCATTTTTAAGGAAAAAAAACTTAATTGTATGAAGTAGGTAAAGTTGTGTTATTTAATAATTCACTCTCTGAAAAATGATTTCTTACTCTAACTTAGTTTACATCTTAATTGTTCAACGCCAAAAGCTAAACTGGTCATTTGCATGACAATAAAAATCCGAATTTAAAAACCTAATGATACATTTTGCACGGCAAAGTCATGCATGCTCCATAACACATAGGTATTTAAGAGCCTTCGTAACTGTGATTTGTCTGTAACATACTGGTAGAAAAATGTGCCATCTTTAGAAGCACAGGCTGAAGAAAAGTCACGTTGAAGAAACATATTACGTTGAAAGTAGGCTGTAGGTTATGTACTATGTACCTACCTACATGCGTACATTATTTTGTTTTAAAAATCCGAAATGTCCAAATAAAAAAATAACTGAAAAATTATGTAATTTTAATTTTAACAACTAACATAAACAATGCTGAATAATATCCAAACTTTTTCAAACTCGAAGATCGGCGCCACTGCGAAACAAATTCTTCATGCAACTTTTCCGCCCACTGAAAGTGTATCACGTAGTACCGGAAAATTCAACTAGATGGCGCTAGTGTAGTGCCATCTAGCGGTGGTAAATGTAACTACGTGATTTCATTTCATTTACAGAAATAATAAAAAAAGTCTGGTTTTTGTTTTAAATAAAATAAAACACTGTCACAATCGGAAGACGTAGTATGGGCAGGCGGCAGGCCCCCCATGTGGACCGACGATCTGGTGAAGCATGGGTGAAGCCCGCGGGAAATTCCTAAATGCGGGCAGCGCAGGACCGGTCTTTATGGAAATTCTTGGGGGAGGCGTTAGTCCAGCAGTGGACGTCATTTGGCTGAAACAAACTATTAAATGAATCTTTTTTATTTATGTACCTAAGACTAAAAATCCTCTAAAATCTTTCGTCCTTGAACTTGCTACTAAATCCGCCAGTTCTTGGCACACTAATCTATCTATTGGATGATAAATGAGGACTTAACGCAAAAAGGCATCGTCTAATAGGGCTTAGGGTATGATCCCGGAAGTACCTAATAGCTAGGGTTGCCAGCCGATCGGGAAATCTGAAAATTTCGGGATAAAGGTTGCCTTGTTCCGTGTCCAATATCTAAAGGTAAGCAAAGTTTGTAGAATGGATAGGTACATGACAAATTACACCTAGACCAATAAAAACAATAATGTTTAAAACACTTTTTTTATTTGCACCTGATTATAGTATGAACCTGCAACCACTGTCAGCATTTGAAATCCGGTACGCGAAGACCTAATTAAAAATTAACTAGGCTATCAAGTTCACTTTGTTTATTGCGACATACAATGTATATCTTCAGAAGTTTGTTCACTTGAATATCTCGAGGTGATTTTTAGATTTGTCACAATGATACAAGTAGGTACATAATTAAGTACTGTTTAAATATACCCAAGTACCTCGTAGGGCTCTTTTTTTGCTATGCTATAGCATAATCTAAATCAAAACGTATTTTTCCTGGAAAGGAATTTCCACAACCAAGTCTGACAACCCTATATTAGTTGATAACAGAGTCACTGTCAGATATTGAGCACTGATAAGAGCGTTAACAACAAGTTGTAACGTGTATAACAACTTAATAATCTCTCTAATAAGTTATTGGCTAAGATTAAGCTACGGACAGAAGGGACAACGTTGTTAGATGATCGCCCGTATTCGCAAACATCACTATGAGGTCTCACTGCGCGCGTGGACGCACAGGGTGACACACGAACCAATCACAGAGCTCTATTCAACGCTGTGCGTTCGATTTGCTGCTTCATTGAAGCAAGCATCGTTTGTGAATACGGGCGTAAAGTCCTACCAGCCGACCTAAGATTGGCACCGTGATAAAATCCTATCGATGATTTTAGACGACAAACGTATGGGCTTATCGCGTAAAATCGATATAAATGGCGCTATAAAAGCTTATCGTGGGCGCATCCTAGGCCTATTGGCCTTTGGCGCAGAAAAGTTCTCGAGTGGCGACCACGGGCCGGAAGACGGTAGTGTGGGCAGGCCAACTCAGTGAACCAACGATCTGGCGAAGGTTACTTCCCGCAACCTTGATGCAGGCAGTGCAGGACCACAGGCAATCCTTAGGGGAAGAATTTATCCAGCAGTAGACGTTAGGGCTTGTCCCACGGAGATTTTTTTTTGCAGGAACTGTTTTTAGGCCGCTTTTTGCCGTGATAACAAGACCTTGTCCTGGCTACACAGGAGTTGCAGCGGTGGGAACGAGTTGGGAATAGTCCCGAGTCATTCGGCTGAAACGAACGAAGGATCATTGCATATAACCAAAGTAGGCACAATCTAAAAATAGCAATAAACGATGTCTCATCTGCGCTATTACTTAATCTTTGTATTACCACTTTATCGCTACAACAACATTGGACCAGTGTCATTTTACCCGGCATTCAACGAACACGTGTGTTGACAACAAACTGGTGGGAAAACAGTTCCAAAATGACAGAGTTCAATCCTACAGGTTAGTGGTTAAAGTAGATTAAATTTTGATGTATTTAATAATGATTAACTTACATCGACTTTAGTAGGAAATGAAAGTTAAGAACTAGGAAACACGAGCGTGTTTTGTTCGGTAAATTCAGCGAATTTATGTGTACAAGTGTGGTTGAATGAATGAAGTTATCTTAAATGTAAAGCAATATAAAATTTACTTAACCAATAAAGTTTGAGTGCACTGTAATTTAGATTAACTAAGTAAGTATTGTTTGATGATTATTTGCCATGCCCGTCTCCAAAGCGGCCGGCTCAGCTACATTACTGGATACGCACATCTTGTACGTAATTCGAAGTAGGTACGAGTCTGACCTACAATATCCGCTGGTCACTAGTGTCACAGAATAAGTACTAGTACTTGCTAGTACCTAAATAATCACAGAACAGAATACCTTCCTCATAAACTAGACTATACAATAACAACGGAGGAATCACTCTGTAAACACAGGAGGGCATGTTGTTTACTCATTTATAGAAATAGATAGCAATTCTCACTCTGTTGAGCTAGCGATATCAGCAGTAGTATCTAAATAGTCACCTATTTGGTAACTCCAATCTATGCAATTAAAAAGCATTAAGTAGGGAAGTCAGTTTATTTGAAAGAGCTCTTACGCTAACTCAGTTTTGCTGAAAATGTAAACTTCTTTTGGTGGGGAAAGTTGTTCTATTAGAACCGTACAATCAATCCTTTTTGTTTGATCCATACTTAAAGCGACACCTGATACAGGGCTATTCCCACCTCTCGTTCCCACCGCTGCAACTGCTGTGTAGCCAGGATCTACATCTTGACCGCCAATAACCCAACCAGTGAAGGTTAAGTTTGTCCCGGGGGTTTAAACTGTCATTGGACCCGCAACGAAATTAAATTTAATAACATAGGAGTTTGAAGTTAAGGTTCGACTTCCCTCCAGTGCAAAGCGAATGACGGTTGACAAAACCCTGTATAAATCGTCTAACGTGTGTTTCAGAACACCAGCATGTCCGCTATAATCCTCTAAAAGACGAATGGATCCTGGTGTCTCCTCATCGCTGCCTGCGGCCGTGGAGCGGACAGACCGAGAGTGGTCAGGAGGAGCAGGCACCAGACCCGAACAACCCTCTGAAGGCTGGCGCTGTTAGAGCTAATGGACAGGTACCTACAACTCCTCAATCTCATCATCGTGGTTAAGAATTCTAGCTAAAATTCGCTTCAATCTTCTTCCTGGTTTTCATCAGGTGAGATGCAGGCCAAGAGCTTCCTCGTTGTGGGTAAAAAAGATACCATTTTAGATATAGGACATATCTACACACTACAGACTAAGGCTTCGCCCGATGACTTCCAGATTAACCGGTTGGAAGCGGCCTCAGCCTGCATCCAGCGGCTTCCAGAAACCTTTATAAGATCATCTGACTATCATTTGGGTAGACGTTGCACGCTGCATTTGCCTGTACATGGCCTCCATTCCAGAATCTTGCTGTCCCATCGCTTGCTATAATCTGTCAAGCCATGTCATTATCCTAATTCGCCAAAGCTAATGGACAGGCAGAACTCTCAATAGGATACTGGTGCCATCTCTGCCTTGCCTGGTAAAATCCTCTAAAAGACGAGTGTATCCTGGTGTCTCCTCACCGCTGCTTGAGGCCGTGGAGCGGACAAACGGAGGGTGGACAGGAGGAGCAGGCGCCAGACCCGAATAACCCGCTGAAGGCTGGCGCTGTTAGAGCTAATGGACAGGTACAACACTTCAATATTCATCATCATTATCCTGTGCTTGAGATTATATTATGGAGGCAGCGTACCAGCGAGCGTAACGTACGACGTCCGTCCATAAGGACAGATGACTTTTGGTAGCAGGTAAGGCGCTGGATGCAGGCCGCTACCATCAAGCCATCTGGAATTTAGTGGGGAGGCCTATGTTCAGCAATGGACGTCCTGTGACCTTCCCCAACATGCTATTTTTACATTGTTGCATCCATCTTCTGCCAGCGACATTTCTAAAGTCGTTACTGCACCTCGAATTACAAATGATCATCATTTTCAGGTCAAATTTGGTCTCCACTGCAGGAGCACGACTCTCTTAATTACTAAAGGCAAAATAGAGGATTTCGTCTACCCTCAAAATTAGAAACACGTTGGTATACAGCGGCGTCAAATAATTCGTGACACCCAAAGTAGCCAAAAAGGTGACAACGCAACCATTCCAATGGTAACAAAGACGTGTAGCGAACTTTTCGGCCACTTTGCATGTCACGAACAACGAATAACGGTGACTCTATCTAATTTTTAAATTATTTTCCCTACCTTACTTACCTACTTACCACCTTATTTGCAGCGAAACCCAGTCTACACGTCAACCTACGTGTTCACGAACGACTTCCCAGCGCTCTTGGAGAGAGTGCCCCAGCCTCCGACGCCTGATCATCCACTGTTCCAAGCCAGCCAGGCTAAAGGAACCTGCAGGTATCAAGCCCGGTTTTCATTAAAGCAGATAAGTGTTCTATCAATGATAGATGATGATATGAATGATGTGATAGACTATCATCATCATCATCATCATTTCAGCCATAGGACTTCCACTGCTGAACATTTAGGCCTCCCCCAATGCTTTCCATGTTGATCGATTGGTAGCGGCCTGCGTCCAGTGCTTCCCTGCTACCTTTATGATGTCATCGGTCCACCTTGAGGGTGGACATGCGTTTTCCGGTACGCGGCCTTCATTCCAGAATCTTGCTGCCCCATCGGCCGTCAGTTCTGCGTACCTACTATGTGCCCTGCCCATTGCCACTTCAGCTTGCTAATCCGTCGGGCTATGTCAGTGACTTTAGTTCGTTTACGGATCTCCTCATTTCTGATTCGATTCCTATACTTTTACCTAACTACTACTAAGTAATTTAACTTACAAACAATGTACAGAAGTGTTTACCTCATTTTTACAGAGTAATGTGCTTCCACCCTGAATCATCAATGACTATACCCCTGATGACCGTTGAAGAAATACTGGCAGTAATTGAAGAGTGAGTAATGAACCAGACATTCAATTTCAATGTTGAGACCATCACAAAAGAGCTTCTAAAGATCGTTCCATCCACGAAGACGCGCCCCACCAATTTTTGGTCGAGGGTAGCGCGGCGTGCGGGGAGTTCGAGCGTCATTAACCCTTAACCACCTAGCACATATTATTGTCACACAACCGCCTATCATACGTCTGTGGGACCCCAGAATAAAAAATGATACGATTACGATAAATATTAAGGTAGGGTATACATTTAATTTAAAATTCTGTTATGAAAATGATTAAACTCTTTATTTTAAAAAAGAAGAATGTGAAAATCAACGATACCTTTACAAAAACTCCGAATAATTAGCATAATCTCTTATTTTTGGCTTACTTACTATTACTTATAGAAAATGAGATCCTAAAAAATATTTAAAGTGATAGGAACTTATTCTTATACTTTTTATATAATTCAATCAACAAGGAACTAGAATAAAAAAAATAAAACTCGTTATTATAATCAATTAATAAAAATTGCAGGCTCTAAACTTAGAGTTTTTTACGGCAATCCAGACTCATATTGTTCGAACATTCGAGGCAAATTGGCGCTTTGCATTCGAAAGACATGTATTGTGTTTTGCGTTTTTTTGTAAATTTTACTGAGGGAATATCACATTGTGATGGAGAGTTTATTTGCATTACTGTTGAGCCTTCGCATTCGGAATCAGATCAGACACGCTACTTTCTTCCAGCACAAGATTAATTTCAACCGGCTCCACATCGCTGCATTAGTCGTTTGGTATGTTTTCATCGTCTGGCAGATCTTGTTCAACCAACGTTCAATTTCAGCTTCACTAAGAGCCATTATAACTAAAACAATAAAAAAAACACTCATACAAAAAATTACGTAACCTCCTAACAGGGGTCTCTCAGACCCATTCTGGTATTTATTTACTCACCTGAAGCAAACGCGCGCACATCCAACCTCGACAAGCCGTTGTGCGGTGCTGAGGGGCGCGGGGAAAAGGTACAGAAACTAACGAGTCGATGCAACACTCCAGCGCAAAAATATTCACAATTATTATATCGACAGGGTCTGTGAGACGTATGGTAGGCGGTTAAGGGTTAATGTAGTGTGCGTGTGCACTCATGAATAATTTAGCGTGTAGCGATAACAATCAAAAATTAGCGTACGAATGGTGGGGCGCGTCTTCGTGGATGACACGATCTACTTATACTTACAGATGACTTGAGATTGATTTGAGTTTTTAACTTTGGTAATATTTATGGACCTTCGTCTCCAATGCAGGAGCTCGACGCTCTCTATTTTATTTGCCAAAAGCAAATGGAGGATTTGGCATGCACTCCCCACGCTGGCCAGACGGATTAGAGGCCTGTTGTTCACTTACTTTTACGACACCCAAGGGAAGAGCGCCTACTATTTACTATCATCATTTCAGCCACAGGACGTCCACTGCTGAACATAGGCCTCCCCCAATGATTTACAGATTGGCCGGTTGGTAGCCTGCAGCCAGCGCCATCCTGCTACCTTATACGAGGGCGTCTATCCACCACCACTTATCATGTTTGAAACCTTTTATGTTCAGATGGGTGAACCAAATGAAAGAGCTGGGTCGTCGATACACCTGGGTGCAAATCTTTGAGAATAAGGGCGCTGTGATGGGGTGCTCCAACCCCCACCCCCATTGCCAGATTTGGGCATCCAGCTTCATGCCAAACGAGCCACGAGTGAAGGACAGGTAATATTAGACTACCTATTCTAGCAGTTAAGTAGGTACATGGTAGGTAGGTAAGCCATGGAGCATCCTCCTATGTTCTTCTGATTAATTTCCTTGCGGGTCCAATGGCAGTTTAACTTTCCCCCGGGACAAACTTGACCTTCACTGGTTGGGTTATTGGCGGTCAAGCTGTAGATCCTGGCTACACAGGAGTTGCAGCGGTGGGAACGAGAGGTGGGAACAGACCCGTAAGCCATGGAGCCCCAAAATGTACCATAACAGGTGCGATTGTGGTCAAATACCTGCCTTGTTATGCATAAAAAAAATGTATGTTTATTAAAAATGCAACAAGGAAGCTCTTGACCTGTATCTCACCTGATAGAAAGTGGTGATTAGGCAGAAGGTGGAAGTGAGCTTCACCCTGAATCCTCAAACAATAGACCTAGTTAACTGTCTGAACACAACAATGTTATGGTGACAGACTTAAGTAAAATGTTTAATAATAAATCCCGCCTGCTATCTTTTAGAGGTGATCGACCCTTCAAGTAAGGCCTAGACCCTACGCAAATCTTTGGCCCTTGGTAAGTATAGGTAGTTTACAGAGACGTAGTCTCCACTAGAGCAGGGTTTCCCAATTTTTTTTGCCAAGGAACCCTAATTGATTATACTTTTCCTAGCGGAACCCCCGTACTACTCCGCCCGCACGCCCTGCCCCTCCCTTGTGCGTAAACAAGTCGGTGCGAGCGAACAACGTCGGTCACGAAACGTGGGATAACATTTTTTACGGAACCCTTGCGGCCTTTCCACGGAACCCCAGGGTTCCGCGGACCACCATTCGGGAACCGCTGCACTAGAGAACTTCAAAGAAAAGATTAGCTAGAAACTCAGTCAAATCAGTTGATCTAAGACAAATTGGTAAAGAAATCAACAACCAAATAAAATATATAATTTTATTAGTCTTTTTCAATCTTGCTAATTCTTACAAAATCTAATTATAATTATCATGTCACAGTAGTGTACGTAACACAAGTACAACAACGAAACACCATTTGGCCCGATTTCCACCAAGGCAGAGCGGTGCCAGAGTAAATACAAATGAGTAGGTCATCTTCATAGAAACGCACCGAGCGCGGTTTGTATGTGAGCGTATTACATTGGCATACGTATGCGGCGCGCACGCACACACCTACAAAATTCGGCGCAACACCCCGCTAACGCTAATCCACGCAAAATTTTTTCAGTGTGTGCGTGCGCTCCGCATACGTATTGGCGCGCTCACATACAAACCGCGCTCAGTGCGTTTCTATGAAGATGACCTACTCGTTTGTATTTACTCTGTCGGTGCAGAGTATTTTAGTAGTATTTTCTAGCTTCTTTATTAAAATTCGACAACATGAAACACACAAAAACAATTTTGTTTGTTAACGGCAATAACATAGGATCCATTTTCTTGCTTAGGATTGTGTATGTTTTGGACAAAACTACTGTAACACATTTTACGTTAGAATCACTAGCTAACTCTTTTAATTCATTACATTCGGATCGAGCTCTCAACTTCACTTCGTCATCACCCAAATTACCCGGATATGCTTCTGAAACGTGAATGGAGTTATCAGTAATTCCAACGCACACTTTTACACTTATGCTGGAATGTACCTTTGGACTCTCTGGAGACTCACTAGGAACATTTTCTGGTTCATTCCCATGGCTTTCTATAATAATAATACATGGTCTTTCACTTCCATAATTTGTATGACATAGCATCGAAGGGTCCTTCAATTTACAAAACAAAAATTCAATCCAATTCTTCAATACAATCGCAACAGTCTCTTTTTTGATGCAAAAATTGAATCCCAATTCTATCAACGGTTTATTCCTTCGTAACTTTATAACAGTTAATAGGAATTGATCGAGCAGTGTTAGTGACTTCTTAGTATTATGAAACTTATTAACATCATAAACGCCATCTCCTAAAAGTTTAAATGTGTCGGTGAATTGTTGGTAATCTGCAAAACCCGTGTAATATTTTACTTCGGCAGGATTTGTTGTGTCCATTAAATTGTCAATTGAAAAAATTCTTTTCTGCTTTTCAATCGTCGAGCATTGGCACAGGTTGCATTGTACCATAGCATCTGTTTGAAATTGAATATTATTATGCGTAGTTTTCCTTGAATCTTCGTTTTGATGATCATCAGTGTAAGATACTTCACAAATTGCAGATGGTATTGGAACAATATAACTTGTATTTGAATTCGTAAAATTTTGATTTGAGCTGCAGAGATCGGTCTCTGGAGACACATTAGTGTTAGAATCCAAATATTTACGAACCTTTTCGCATATAATTAAATCCACATTGTTCGATGGTAAGTTGCGTTTTGGCTTCGCTGCAGGTGTACTTTTCTTAATTTTTATTTCTTTAAGGTTATTAAGTATTGTGTTAATGTTATTGTTGATATTAATAGTTATAGGTTGCTCATTGGTATTAGAAGTCAAGTATTTGAGTTTTTTGTTCAGAATTAAATTCAGATTATCCTTATTGATCTTGCTTATGTTGCGTTTTAATTTTGTTGGTAATGAACCAATTTTCTGAACTTTTAAAACTTTAAGGTTCTTACGTACAGGGTTGACTTTATTTTTATTATCATTTATAGTCGATGCATCACAGATTTGACTTTCTGAAGTCAGGATTTCCACGTCGCCCTTCTCTTTTTCATCGTTCATGGGTGCTGGGACGGTGAATTTCTTTCTAACACTCCCTTTTGGTCGCCCCCACGGGTTTCCTGGTTTATTCCATGGGAAGATACTTGGCACGGCAGTTTTTTTCAACTGTGGTCTGGCTGAAATAGTAATAATTAAAATTATTTACTTTAAAAAACTGTAACCTAAACAAAATATTCCACTAAAAGACTAGTCTGCAGGGTGTCTAAAGTTACTTTACTAAAGTTATCTATAATATATAAAGCTTCTATATCTATAAAAGCGAAAGGTCACCGATTGACTGACTCAAATCAATCACGAAATTTCAGAAACTAAAATTTTGCATGGAGGTTTCTTTTAGAACGAAGGTGCTCACTAAGAACGGATTTTACGAAACTGCACCCCTACCTGGGGGTAAAGCTATTAATAAATAATTCTTACGTCTTTGCAATACCGAATCCTGCGGCATCACAAAATCGTCATCCGTGAAGTGGCGTTTACACACTACGCTGTGTTTCGACGGAGTAAAGTCAGGTCTGCGAATGGCTTCAACCCACTGTTTTGTTCGATCTGCATCTGCAGGGAACTTATGCCCGCCTATTCTATTTGAACACATAGGCACTGCACAACATTCTGGCATTTTAGATACTATTTTAAAATGTTAGGTACTTTGGTTCACTGAGAAAAACCCAGAGAGCATACTGTCCACAGATTAGAGAGTATGTCTAAAGACAGATAGGAAACGGCCCTAGTATTTGTTGAACGTTAAACAAACTGGTACCGAGCTAGATTGTCCAGTAGGTGGCGCTGTAAACAATATGGCGTCTGCCGCCCACAGATTAAATATATNAGTAGGTATTGTATAATTTTTTTCTTTACTTTCAATAAATGCTACTTGTGTTAACAAGCCTCTTATTAAATAATTTCGATATGAGAACTCACAATACTGCTTCTCTCATTTAAATTTAATTAAATAATTAAACTTTAGGAAGAAAAAAAATTACAAACAAGCAAGTTTCTGAACGTCACCTGCGTGTTTCGCACAGATTAGAGAGTATGTCTAAAGACAGATAGGAAACGGCCCTAGTATTTGTTGAACGATAAACAAACTGGTACCGAGCTAGATTGTCCAGTAGGTGGCGCTGTAAACAATATGGCGTCTGCCGCTCACAGATTAAATATATACCTCTCATACTTTTTTTATGATCCGTTCCGTTTCATGTAATGTGTTTAAAAATAAAACTATTGAAGTATAAAATAAAACTTTATTGATGAAATATAACATGAAATATTTTGTTTACGAAAATCAGTAAGCAATAAAACTACTGGATTTTAAAAGATTACAGTTACTGTTGTGATAACAGTACATTGTTTTAGTTTTTATATTATGTACTCACGGATTGACATTTGTATGTAGCTCATAATATAAAATATGTTGCGTTAAGACTTATAGTAAAATAGTTTAATGTTCTCCATAAATTCACACGTTCAATCTCACGTTGGTTCTGTCCACTCCACTGTAAGCAGGCCAGATCTACATGTTTCTCACCACCTGTAAAATATATGAAATATTTGTAAATTTAGAGCAAAAAGCCACCGTAAGTCTGTAATCTTCTACATCTACATTCTACACTAATATTATAAAGAGTACAGCATATAAACAAGTGATTGATCTATCTATCTACCATGCCTACTGTCTGTTTTGTTTCTAGATTCATACTACTTTGTTAAATGAAAATTAATTTACCTTGTCAAATGTGTACTTGTCAATCAATTACTTAATATACAGGGTGTCCCGTAATGTAACGTCAAGCCGGAACTGGGTGTTGAGGCAAGTTGTGCTGGTTATCAGAAAAATATAAAAAAAAATCTATGTGGCATATTTTAAAAATAATAGGCATTTAAAAAAAATCAAAAAATTCTATTCCAGGTGACGGTCCTTTTGCTCGTGTTGCCACAAATCTTCACTTTTTCGAAATTTTTTTTTTGTTATGTAACCCTGAATAATGCTTCTCTAAATTGTTATCAAAATTACAAAACCAGCTGCTCCAGCTTGGATGAAAAAAATACATTATTCCCAAAAAAATTTTCAAAATAAATATTTTGCCTAGTTTAAACTGACTGTACTGAAAAAAAAATGTACTACGCGAGTATGGCAAGTGACGTCATAATTTGGCGCATTTAGTAAGGATTCCAAAATGGTACAACACTTGGTAAATTTTTGCTGTAATTGTCGACAATTTTTGGTTTTTTGGAAATAGTCCCGTTTTTAACTTTATCTACCTTGGTTAAAAATTATTATTCTAATGTGCCCAAAATTCAAGTTTCTGTGACTGACTACCGTACAGTCAGTCACAGAAACTTTTATCACCATGACAGTAATTAGTAGTTAACATACTGTGACAAAAGTCACCCGTGCGCGCGCGCCTTTACTACCTGCTCTGTCTGCACTTGTACTTGGTAACAGGGATAATAAGGATATGAAGTTTCGGTTATGGATACGGTTACGGATATTAGAATAATATTATACCGGTTTCGGTTACGGTCACGGATATGAAATCATTTCAGATTATCCGAAAGTCTCGGATAATTTCGGTTACGGAATTATAAGAATTTCAAAAATGTAGGTATAATCATAGAGTTCAAAATTAATTGAAGAAAAAATACAAATCATGTTAGCTTGATGTGCCAGGAACTCTAAATAAATTCTAAAATAATAATCCTTACTTGCTTATGAACCAAATAGTATGAATTCATGGATAAAATAAATATTTTTTTCCGACGCGCAGTAAAATTCGCCCGCTGTGTCCTGAAGAAAAAATTTTTTTCACCTACTTTTTTCGAAAAAAGTACCATACAATGGTATATATTTATAATCCTGGTAAATGTAGGTTTCAGTACATATTTTTTTTATTAGATTATCTCCAATGGTTTAAAAGTAAACGACGTTTATTTAAAAAAATACTTTATGGTTTTTGTGAATTTTTCTCAATATTTCTATTTTTTTGTATGAAAAGGCAAAAAGTTTGTTCTAGAAATGAATTCGCCATCCTTTAATTATCCGAAAATGACACCACACTTGCCCTAATACCTATAGTTTTGAAGATATGGGCCTTAAAGTGAATCGCGGCAGAAGGAAACTTGCCCCCCCTCCCCCTTCTACCACAGGGGGGGCTCCCGATGTCTACCGACGGAAATCTACTCAGGAGCACCCAAAGAACAACTGGTGCAATAATGAGCCTTCTATACCAAAGTGGAGGGGTCTCCATACAAATCATTGCACTAAATTCCCTACTAGTATCTTTAAACACCTAATTGTAGCTAAATCATTCATATATCGTGTATGTTTTTGTAATGACTCTACAGTTCTACACGCGAGGGTTAGAAATAGAAGAAAGGTATTGGGGCCAATAATTGGTGCGAACTCTTGACACAACTATGCTCAAATTTAAAGCTTTTACTCAGTAATTAGGCCCTTTTAGAGCGCTTATACACGTTCCAAATAGCTTGCCCTACCACCACTTTGGGACAACATACGGGCCGGTGCTGGGAAGAAATGGTGGAAGAAACTCAGTCACCTTTATCAGCGTCTTTTTCAATCAGATTAGTCAAGTGTAGCATAACATAATTTGATGTTTATTTAAAGATACAGATTCCATGGTAAGACGTAAGATATGGTATTGTTTGAACCAAAAGTTTCACAATCCTCGGCCTTAGTTTTCATAAACAATATACTTAATGTTGAAACAATATAAAGACGTTAACTTTATCTTATCATAGAGATTCGGGCACGGAGATCCATCATCCTGTCATCGTATCTGAAATGTGTGTCGTTAGGTTTCTTGTAAAAGATTCTAAAATTATCACATTGTACGCCGTTTTCTAGAATAAACAAACTGTGTGTTCTACAGAATATTTTGGGTTTTTCAGGTTAATCAATGGGATTTTTTACAGATTACATAACGAATGGTTCAAGCCTATTGCGTTGTTTGGTAAGTTTTGGATTGAACTTGTATGGATGGATATGTTACTAATTTATTAGTTTTTTCTGGATTTAACTGTTTTAGTATCTACTGCAGGGGCACGACCTGCTCTAAGTTACCAGAGACAAATGGAGGATTTGCTCTACACTCCAAACGCATGCCAGATGGCCAGATGTTCGCATATTTGTTCCTTAATAGCCTTTTGGGACATCCACGGGAGGAATGGGGATGGTGGTCCCATAACTATTCTACTCTGATGGAAGTCGCGTCTGAAGCACACTTGTAGTCATGGAAAAGCTCAGAGAACTTTTACGATTGAAATTCCATACTTTGAATAATATTTGCAAGTGAAATTGTATGTTACTGCTACAAAAATACGTCTCCTTTTCAAATGTCTTATCACCGATGAAAAAATCCAAGTATAGTACCCAAACCTATCTTGATTCATAGTGATTCACATGCAGAACATAAAATTCATTTAGCCTGCTATGTTTAGAGTACAAAGCAGCATTGTAGCAAGAGCCGATTGATCTTCGAGTTTTTATCGTATCAATTTAACTGGGTTGAGATTTTCAAGTCAAACGATATAAATTCAAAAATGGCAGCTGACAAAATGCATGCTATCTTTTGATTTATGAACGGGTAAAATATGCAAGTAACATAAAGAAATGACGTTTTGTAAATGAGTAACGATGAAAAATTGACACAGCATTTTAAGTGTTGCTGAGAAAACACGAAATCATACAGGAAATAAGTTCATTCTTATTCTTTATTTTATCTTTAATCTTGACAGTATGATAATGTCAAAAGATCTGAAATCTCAAGACCTGGATTTCAGGCCGTAGCTCTAGGCAACAGGTATCGGTCATCGTAAAGGTTGTAGAGATTTTTGCATGGACATTAGACTAGTAGATAATACAGGGCTGCTTTTATATTTCCTTCAAAAAAAAGGGAAAGGGGTAAAGTTATGAAATATTTTTGCGATTAGGTACTGCTATTAGTATTCACAGGTTTTTTTATAGAGCTGATTTATCCTCGATCACAGGGCATTGAGCACACCAGAGTGCCTAATGGGAAATAGGGGCCTACGACCTTTTATTTGCTGGACTTGATTATTTTCCATATAGGGTGGTGAAGGTCGCGGGAAAAACCTGGATGCGGGCAGCGCAGGACCGGTTGTTATGGAAAGCCATGGAGGAGGCCTTTGTCCAGCAGTAGAAAGTGACTCTGCAACCCTTTTTTTCTAATTCTCAACGAGGAAGCTCTTGGCCTGCATCTCACCTGATGGATAGTCATGATCAGGCCGTAGATATAAATAGAGCAATCCCAAAACGACGGTCATCTCTTTACGTTCCGCTCTAAGATCAGCCTGATGACAGATACATCAATAGTAAAACGAATCACCTGTTATCAGGCACACTTGAAACTGCCACGTGCTGCTTATAATATACGACGCATTGTTCCATGGCCTTCGCGATACCATCTCGGCTTGGGAACTGTTTCCTTGTCATAAAAACCGCTTTTTATAGAAAACCGTTTCAGTAGGCTTTGTTGGTGTCAAAAATATGTTTTTATTAAGTGACACCATTGTTTATGGATGGGAACCGACGGTTTTGTACATATTGTTTGTTTCGTTAGTGATTTCATAAGTTATATTAATGATGAAGATGATTTATAATTCCATTTCATTCTGATTGATGTTGAGGGGAAGATTTGCCTGTGTTCATCTGAGGACGTTTACTGATGATGATGAGGAGATAATATTATCTTGCACAGTCTAGGTAGTAACTGGAACCAGTAATCTGTCAATCTTCTAGAAGAAGAAGAAGATGAATACGGGAAACATATACCCTGCAGTGGAGATATACTTTTATTTAGATTATTAACTAGTCAAATAAATTCTCTTTGATTTGGATATTGGAAAACCCAGTGTCATTATTATTTTGTGGTTTGGGTTTAACTATTTGTATAGTCAAGTATTTGATTGTACTGCATTAATGATCTTCGGTTGGTTAATCATCGAAGCACATTGTGCCAATATTCATCTTTGCAAGCCGGAACCAGAGACAATGGTTCAGAAGTGGAGCAAGAATAGGCTTTTTGCCTGAAATGAGGCCGGGGCCTTAGTTTTTGTTTCGCTTCAATAGTCAAGGATCCAATAAGTTTTAAGAACACTCATAATTGGCGATGTTTTCTATTTTTACGGCCCTCATTATACCTCATTGTTGCATTTTTGGTACGGACGACGCTGCATAAGATTTACTAGCTCATAACGAATGATGAAAGATCGAGATAGCCTACATAAAAGTTGAAGTAGACTGGTCTCTTTTGCTAAAAGATATCCATCACCAAAAATCGTGGAACTGAATGGTCATCCACTATGTAAAAATACAGTCCATTTTCTCCGTCATGCACTCCTGTAGGACTACTCAATTTTCCCTTGTTAGGTTTCATTGGCGCCTGTAGATCCTGATACAGGGAGTTAAAAAAAAAAAAAAGTAAGTAGTGAGAACGATATCGTATCGAGATTAGTCCCGTAGAGCTTTCTAATTAAAATTCAAATATTTTATTGAAAAGTCTACAGTTGGTCTATGTACTCATGTAGACTTGTAGTGTGTATCGTGCTACCTACTCGTACTTTAGCTGTTTTCTGAATCGTTCATTCAAATAATCCTTAGCCTTTCGGTAATTCAATGGAACCCGGTTAGGTAAGTTTAAATTGTTGGATTAGTCTTATCTACCATGAATTTTTATGCACAAGAGTTACTGAGGGTGCATTTACATTTGAACCCTGCCTTTACGGTATGGGCTGGAGGGTGTACAATTTTATGCATTTCCTCGACCAAAGAC